TTTTTGTTTTTTTTTTTTTTGTCATTGTAATATTGTTTGTGGCGTTTCTTCTTATTTCTCACGCTTTCAAAGTAAAACGCCATAAATCATTACTCTTGTTTTTCTTTGCAGTATTGTTTTTTGCGTCTTTCTATCTTTCACTCTTCCATCGAAGTGCAAAATATTATATGAGCTTAGTTTGAGTCTAATAAAATATTATAAACACGTGAATTTGAGATCAAAGTGTGAAGCCCAATAATATTTGATCTGCTCAAAACTCGGGTCACATGACCCGATTGTCACCCCTAACGATGAATCTTGAATTTGTCCTAATACTACGATTTTATTTCAAAAAATTTGCTGGTAAGCTTAAAAATTCATAAAAATAAATTATGCAAGAATCTTATAAACTCGATTTTGAGCCCGATATAATATCCCAAAATGCAAAAATTAAATGAGTCGTGTTTAAGCCTAACAATATATATTATGCGTGTGAGTTTGTGATTCAAATCGTGAATCTCGATAGTATTTGAACCGATCAAAACTCGGGTCACATGTCCAATTTTGTCAATCCCTAACGATGAATCTTGAATTTGTCTAAATCATAAAAATAAATTATGCAAGAAGAATCTTATAGCCCGCCCCCCTTGCGTGGATGCTAATTAAAAATTGCTTATGGTTAATCCACCAAAAGAAGTCTACTTGACTTGAGACCTTATTGTCAGAAACATGGAGGCATGTTATTCGTCTTCCTATAATGAACTAAATCCATTTCGTAATCCAAAAAAAGATAATCAACTTGGCACGACTTGCTAACCAACACTTCATCACAATTCACAATATACATAGTTGTCAGTCTCTTACTATAGATCAATGGAATTAAGAGATGCTATTGTCAAGGCATAATTGATACATACAATTATGCAGCATATTCTTTGGCAGCAAATATTACTCCTATTATATAGGGCTGATTTCACGTACCTCCCATGTATTCTTCATTTACCCATTGTACTATCAAAACCTTCACTTACTCCCTAATGGCTAAGAGTCAACATAAAATCACAGTTAATATAGACGGAAATTGGAGAATGTCCAAAACTAACCTTGAAATATTAATTAATTAAAAAGGGTTTATTTTACATACCCCTAAGTACCAAATAAATTAGGGATAAACCCAAGCCAAAATCATCCTTTAACATACCCCTGGAGATGTCAAAGTACTATACTACCCTTATATGCAATTTTCGGCCAAATTATTATTATTATTATTATTATGCATTTAGCATTTCCATTATTATTATTATTATTATTATTATTATTATTATTATTATTATTATTATTATTATTATTATTATTATTATTATTATTATTATTATTATTATTATTATTATTATTATTATTATTATTATACCGATGACCCCGGTTCGGTTCCGGTTCCGGTTATAACCGAACCGGTGGTCGGTGTAGACAGAGGCTTGTCATCACTCATCTTGAAGGAATACAGTCTCTGTTTCAAATAGAGTCTGTTTGTGAGAGATTTGGTCGTATACAGTTGTTCCAACTTCAACCAAACACCTTGTGCAGTGGTCTCTCTAGCTACTTCCCTCAGAGCCTTATCACCAAGGCTCAAGATGATCCCACCCCCCCCCCCTATCCATCAAGTCATTCTTCTCCTATTCTGATAAGGAATCCGAAAGCTCGTTGGCACCCTTCAAAGCATCTATCAACCCCTGCTGCACCAACATGGGTCTCATTTTCACTATCCAAAGACCAAAATCACTAGATCCCGAGAACTTCTCCACCTCAGACTACAGTGCATCCTATACTGTGTGCTCAAATCTTCCCACAGAAGGCGCCAAATTGTTGTGGATTCAGGTCCACAGACAATAACAAGCCACACAAAAAAAAAATTGATCCAAGAAAGAACACACAGATACCACTGTGTTGACTCAACCGACTGTTGACACCGTTACAGATAACACAACTACAGTTACCACAGATCTAAAACTGAAAGCTATAGAACAGATAAAGAACACAATATTTAAACCGTTTGAACCGGTTTTTTTTTTTAAATTAATTTCCTAGCTCGCTCTCTCTCTCTCTCTCTCTCTCTCTCTCTCTCTCTCTCTCTATATATATATATATATATATATATATATATATATATATATATATATAGAGCTGTGCATGGATCTGTTTTAACCACCAACCAACCCTTTTTCGACCCATAATTTGTGATGGATAATCAACCATCAACCGACCCATTTAAGTTGGGTCGATAATATCAACCAACCCATGTATAGTTGGGTCGATAATGGTTTCTAATATGCTAAAAAGTTGGTTAGTCGGGTAATATCGGCCAACCAACTTTATTTATTAATTTATTATTTATTAATTTTAATTAAAATGTTTAATATTTTTAATTTCAAATTTCTATTTTATATCACATTTATTAAATTGTCTAACATTGACAAAATCCTAAAAGCAATAAATCTAACATAATTATCTAATTTGAACTATTTTAATTTTACAACATAGCCTAAATATTCGGACGATTATTATTTGTTGAAATATTTATGTTTAATTGCGATATATATGCCCGTAATGTTTTGAATCTTTTATTTTGAATATCGTTGAACTAGTCACATTTAATTTATAAAAGATATAGCGTTGAAACAACTAATAAAATATTAAAAAAATTAAAAAAAAATTTAGATGGATGACCCATCAACCAAACCACCAACCGACCCACCAAATTGGTTCTCAACCATCACCCAACCCATGTAAAATGGGTCGATAACGGTTTCCAATATTTACCAAAGTTGGTTGGATGGGTTGGGTTGGTTTTTTGCCTGGTTTTTACCCAAACCAACCAACGCACAACCCTATATATATATATATATATATATATATATATATATATATATATATATATATATATATATATATATATATATATATATATATATATATAATATATATATTTATATAAATATAAATATAAATAATAGGGTAGAATATGGCTCTATTCTTAATTAATTGGGCGATTACTTATTGGACCGATCCAACAATATAATTTTCTTTCCCTAAGTTATTTAATTGGTCGCGACTATTTGCAATACTAGTTCCAGTAAGTGCAAGATCAAATTAAAAAAATCAATGTACTAAGTACTTGTTCGGTTACGGATATAAGGTTCTTGTAGCACCCCCCTTCTAGACGGGCCAGAGAATATACATTTTGTATTATTGCTCAGTTAATAGGACGTACCTTAAGGATTGAGTTCAAACCTTTATTTATAGCTTAGTTGAGATTGTCAAGCCCAAACCTTACTTGAAGGTGATTGGGCCTCGGTGATAATGGTCTTCGATATTGGGCTCGTGGCCCAGTATGTAAGGAAATTGTAGGCCCATTGGGTTGGCCCAATTAGGCATATCATTAACCCCCCACTCTCGAGTCGATGTGGAGGCCATGTTGAAATGGGTGACATATCGTGTCGAGAGTAAAAATTGTAGTAGTCGATGGTGTGCGAAAACACGTTGGAGCGTGTGTCGGAGGGGCGTGAAGGCGCGTAGCGCAACCAAGTTGTCGCGATGTAAGTGACTTGAGTCGTCGGTGTTGTCCAACGACGATGTGGTAGCGCAGATCAAGTTATCTCCTCATGGGAGTTGTCTCGTCGTGGGGTAATAGAATTGATCGAGTTATCTCCTCGTGGGAGTTGTCTCTTGATGATGTAGTAGCACGGAGCTAGTATTCTCCTCGTGGGAGTTGTTATTTATCGACATTGTCAATGTTTTGACGCGTTTCTTGTATGTGTTTACATATAGCCTTCTGCGTGATGTACTTGAGGTGGGGATCAGACTCTCAAGATTTTTATATGGGGATCGTGCCCTTTGTTAGACCTCGTGGGTCGTAAGTATGTTTGGACCGTGGCCACGTTTTAATGAAGGACCCATCGAAAACAAGTAGATAAATTTGAGTAATCAAGCTGGCCAGGCTATATAGATTCCCCTAATATCTCTAAGTGTTTCTAGGGTTGTAATCGTGCTAACTTGAGCTTGCGATTATATAGTGAATTTCGGGCGAGTTGTCTCCTCATGGGAGTTGTCTCGCAGCGAAGTTGTAGGAGCATTGGATGACGCGCAGCTGACGAGTGTGCGGATTGATGTCGCTCTGAGCGATTTCTCTCCTCGTGGGAGTTTTTTCGCGACGGGTTGGTAGTATCGAGCGAGTTGTCTCCTCGTGGGAGTTGTCTCGATGCGGGTTGGTAGTACCGAGCGAGTTGTCTCCTCGTGGGAGTTATCTCGCTGCGTGTTGTAGGACCGAGCAAGTTGGCTCCTCATGGGAGTTGCCTTGCAACGGGTTGTAGAACGGAGCGAGTGGTCTCCTCGTGGGAGTTATCTCGCAACGGGTTGTAGAACGGAGCGAGTGGTCTCCTCGTTATCTCGCTGTGATTTCGTAGACCCGAAGGAGTTGGCTCGTCGTGGGAGTTGACTCGCAATGGGTTATATGACCGAGCGAGTTATCTTCTCGTGGAAGCAATGTTTTGAAAACCGGACCGGACATCGAACCGGACAC